CAACAGTAGATGTTTGCTCAATATACATTTGTTGAATGGTGTAAGATTAAGGCCAGCAACCTGCCACTACACTCTTCAATGAGTGTAAACCTTGATTTATGGGTTAATTATTCCAAGTCACAATTTGTTTCTAAGTTACACATGCTGGGTGTCTGCATCCAGAATTCTGCTTTGTCCTGACTGGGGCCAAACTCTGACTGAGTGAGATTTTGTTCTCATTTGAATTCAAATTAATGTAGTCATCTCTCAGGGGCAGATGTTATGCATCAAATAAGTGACAGATTGCAGCATTAATTTAAAGAGTAAGTAAGATTTAGATTATAATATGATTACTTTTATTGGAGAAAAAAATCTAGTGATGTTGGCCACTTATTTTCCAAATAATTGAAAAAATATGTGTCTATGTGGTGTGTGTGTGTGTGTGAGTGTGTGTGTGTATGTGTGAGTGTGTGTGTATGTGTGAGTGTGTGTGTATGTGTGTGTGTGTGTGTGTGTGTGTGTGTGTGAGAGTGTGTGTGTTAGACGCTGGAGGTCAAATGTTTTCCTCTATCATTCTCTGTTTTTTGAGACAAGGTCCTTCACAGCCCCTGGAGCTCATCAGTTGGCAAGACTGACTGGGTTGCAAGCCACAGGACTCCAGCTCTGCTCCCCAGTGTTGAGAATACAGACTTGAGTTCTAAGAGCATACACCCTTTTTATATGGGTGCTGTGGCAAGGTTTATTTGTTTATTCATTCATTTATTTATTCATTTATTTATTTATTTATTTATTTACTTATTTATATTTATTTTCTTAACCAATTGAGCCATCTCCCCAGCCCACCCCTGACCTAACCTCAAAAAATGATTGATTGATTAATTGACTCGTTTTGTGTGTGTGTGTGTGTGTGTGTGTGTGTGTGTGTGTGTGTGTGTGTGGGCTCGCGCATGCACGCATATGCACGAATGCCATGGTGCATATGCGAAGGTCAGAGGGCAGTTTGCAGGAGTTGGTTCTCTCCTTTCACCGTGTGGGTCTCGGGGATCAAACTGAAGTGACTGGATTTGGCAGGAGGAGCCTTTACTGGCAGGGCCATCTCATTGGCTCTTAACTTATTTTTACATCTTTTAATACACATCGCCAAAGTTGTTAAAAAAAAAAAAAAAAAGGACCATGGCAGTCACATAAATGTGCCTCACTATCCTTTACAGACATAGCTAAGCCAGGGCCCGATGAAGGTCACACCGCTCCCAGCCAATGACCCAACATAACAGCGATAATAAGACAGGCCAGTCCCCACGGGACACAAGGCTTCTGTGATGGCTGCCCCAGGCTGGAGGCCCCTGTTCCTTGATGAGCCCTCCTCTGGCTGCCAGGCTGTGGAGATGCGCGCTCCACCTCCCCGGTTTTGCCCGACATGGGACTGTTAGTGGGGCAGCCCCTCCCCTTCCTGATCTTCTTCCATTTCCTCTCACGAGGACACTTCCCTCATAGAATGTCTGTGTGTTCGTCCAGTTTTACCATCTGCGTCTCTAAAGGCCCACACAGAGACAGTTATATTTGCTTGTCCTTTTTCCCACAGTTTCCACTAGAAAGTGATGAGAATGAGTCTTTTACTCAGTCTTGTCAGCATTTGCTAGTTCAAAAATACTGGCTACTTTGGAAAAGTTAGAACAGCTTTTTAATAATGCAGCCTTCCATTTTTGTCATATGCTCTCAGCTGTTTAGATATTCATATCTGCGAATTGTCCTTGAGGAGTTCATGGGCATACAGCTTTTTTTTTTCTTAGATGAGGGTCTCACTTTATAGCTCTGGCTGGCCTGTATGTAGACCAGGCTGGCCTCAAACTCATAGAGATCTGCCCGCTGTAAAGGCGTGAACCACTACACTCAGTGACATGCAGATTTCTTTTTTTATTGTTTATTTATTTTGGTTTTTTGAGACAGGGTTTCTCTGTGTAGCTTTGGAGCCTTTCCTGGAACTCACTCTGTAGCCCAGGTTGGCCTTGAACTCACAGAGATCCATCTGCCTCCCAAGTGCTGGGATTAAGAGGCGTGCGCCACCACCGCCCGGCCAGATTGCTTTTTTAAATGATTGCATTTTAAATTTATTTTTGACCATCTCACACATGTATGCAGCATTGTTTATTTGCGGGGAGAGGCATCCTTTAGGATGTATGGTTTCCACGGTAATTGCTGGCCTTCGGCAGCAGGCTGGTGTCAACAGAGAGTTGCATACAGCAGCTGTGCAGACAAAGGTCATGTTGCGTGCTCTCTGGGCTTCATAACACTAAAAGACTTCCTCTTCTTGGTTAAGTAGGAAGAATCGGCCATGTGTTCTAGCACACAGTCCTGTGGGAATCGGGGAGGCTGTTATTTGCAGATTAGTCTTTAGGCATCAGGTCCCCTCTTCTCTCATCTAATCTCAAGCAAGGTATCATTTTCAAGGTTTTCTCAGTGGGAAGTGTTTCAGAAGTTGCTCCTGTTGAATTTAAGGTTGGAAATCATGCAGACCAAAGCATGAGGTTTGCCCATTTTATTTAGTTTGGTTCAATGGCCGAGGCACCTCTGGCCTCAAGCACTGTCCCCATGTTCCCATGCCCATCATACATTTTGCATTGAACTGTGCCATTATTTGCTAACCCAGGTATGCATTCATATCTCACTTGGGAAAAAGCCGTTGGTGATGTGAATGATGACCTAGTCTGATTTTCCAGAATTCCAGTCAACCAGAAGAATTGACTGTGGCTTCCTCAGACACCCAGGCTCTTCTCAAAAGTGAAGGTGTGAAGCACCCATTCACCATTCACTGAATTTAAAGGCATCCCCGCATTTATTTTAATCTTATTTCTGCTTATGTGTATGTACGTGTACAGTACACGGTGGCCAAAGGACAGCTTGGCAGAGTCAGTTCTCTGCTTCCAACTTTATATCCATTCCAGGGACCGAACTTAGGTTGTTGGACTTTTGGGGCAAGCTCTTGTCCCTGCTGAGCTGTCTCTGTGACCCCTAAAGAACTCTTTTTAAAGGTATTTAAAAGCAAAAAAAAAATGAAGCTCCACTTCCAAGAAGAAACAGCAAATCAAGACAAACTTGAACCCCAAACACTCTATCAGCTCATGGGAAGGACGCACACATAAACCTCTGAAGAAAATCTTTGCACCAAAGACCTTTGTGTATGAAATATTACATGGCGTCAACTCCAAAGCCAAACGGTCCTTTTTTTTTCTTCTGTAACTTCATTTAGTTTCAGGGTCATGAAAAGACACAGTTACTTGGCCTTGACTCTTCCCAATTTGGATATCCAAGCCTTCTGAATCTCCATACCCAGCTAGTATTGTGCGATGAGTTAATAAGAAGAAAATATGCCTGCTTTCTCAGCCTTCACGTCTCTAATAAAGCCCATATTTTAAAGCAGTTATGGAACTCTGCACAGAATCCAGGTTTAAAGGCAAATTGAATGCATAAAAAACCAAGTCAGACAGCAAAGTTTAGTTACCTGAGAAACAACTACTAAATTTATCTCTTCAGTCAGGAACCGAAGATAAATACTTTGCAAGACACGCTCTACTTTGGCTTTCAATTTTACTTTAGGCCTTATTAAATAACGCCATCAGCAGGAAATGTACATGTGTAAATTTAAAGCTGTTCTGATCAGCAGGCACTGTGATAGCTTGGCTATGTAAAAAAAAAAAAAAAATTGTCTTTTTTTGCTACAGAAAATGAAGCTTATCTTCCTGTCAGTTTCAGGAAGGTGATTTAGGTCACGGGGCTTCACTGTTTACTCTGTCTTCAGTGGAGGTAAGAAGAAGCCAGGGATGGTAATGGCAATTGGCTGTGAGCACCTTGGAGATGTTGCCACCTGTGTGTCCCCCTCCTACACCAGAGTCTTCCTCCAGTGAAGGCGAGGTGGCAGGTGGCCGGTGGAGTCCTTCCTGAGATGTCCCCTCTATCTGCTGCTAGGCTAGCTGCCGGCTCCCGTGTGTCTTCTCTGTTTCTCTCCCTGTACCTGTTTTCGTCAGGGCTTCTACTGCTGTGATGAAACTCCATGGCTGAACGCAATGTGGGGAGGAAAGGGTTTATTTTGCTTTACACTTCCATATCACAGTCCATCGTCGAAGGACATCACGGCAGGGCCCTGGCGGCGGAAACTGAAGCAGAAGCCGTGGAGGAATGCTGCTCACTCACTGGCTTGATCTCCATGGCTTTCTCAGTCTGCTTTCTTACACCACCCAGGACCACCTGCCCAGGGGTGGCACCGCTCACCGCTGGCTGGACCCTCCCACATCAATCACTAATTAAGAAAATGCCCCGCAGGTTTACCCACAGGCCAGTCTGGTTGGGGAATTTTCTTCAATTGAGTTTCCTTCTCAATTGACTCTAGCTCATGTCAAGTTGATAAAGAAACTAAGCAGGACACTGCCCAACTGCCTACCCATGCCATTGCCTGGGGTGGACAGAGTTGCTGAACACAGTCTTCAGCTTTGACTGCTTTTCTCTGAGGGTCTTCGATGCTGTTGGTTGTCATGATCCACAGCTTCTGTGATGAGAAGGATAAAAGAAATCATGAAACCCGATGTCCTTTGGAGCCACATAACCAGACTGTGCCTCAGGTACGACTTCACTGTGCCCCCGCACTGGTTTTTGTTAGGGAAGATGAATATAAAATGTACAAGGAGGCCTGGAGGCCCCTCCCTCTGCTCCCGGTCTAAGTTCTGTTCTCTGCATTTGACCAAGTTCCTGCTCCTCACCACATGGGTGGCATTTTCTTCTTTGGGGAATCATCCAAACGCAAAAAGCAGTCATCTCAATCACTTGTCATTTGCACAGGATGAGATCTGAGGCCGGTTGTTCTAGGAGTTACACCAGCTGGGCAAGCAAATGTGGCTGGCAGCCTGCGTGAGCAGGATGTGTGGATTGCCATCATAACACAGCTCACTCCCCCCCCCCCCCCCCCCCCGCTTCTTCCTTCAACTTTGTTCAACAGGGAATAATCTTCCCACTAATTGTGGCTGCAGATTCCTAATCCAAGGTGCTTCCGTTCACCCTTAAATGGAGCACAGTCCCAGTGTTGAACCCCGGCAGCAGGGCTGCTTCCCGGTGGGGGTGTTTAGGTTAGTGTGGTGAAAACGCCAGTCCTGTCTCGTATTTTTATCACAAAAGGGGGAAGGGGTGGTCCTTTCAACCTCATCGTTGGTCCTAGCTCCCAATTCCCACTCAGGAAGTGAAACTCAGGAAGACCACGCTTAGCAAGCTTCTTCCTTGGGTGGTGGCTCCTTGAGTGTGTGTGTGTGTGTGTGTGTGTGTGTGTGTGTGTGTGTGTGTGTGTGTGTGGTGTGTCTGTGTGTGGTTTTATTGATGTATTTGATATAGCTAGGAAACACGCATGTACACGTGTGGACAGGGAAGAGCAGAGGAAGGATGGTTATTTTGAGGAATTGACCCAAGCCAACTGTGGAGAGACTTTGTAGCTCCAAAATATTATGGATTAGTCAGTCTGACTGAGACCTGAGTGGGGAATTGGTCTTTTGACACTATCCCTTTTTTTGTTGTGGGAAGGACAGATTTTTTTGAGTTGCAAATTCTTCTTGGTGCAGCTCTTGAGGATGTGAATTTTTGTCTCTTGACTTGGCCTGAGTATAGGCTAGAAGGGGAACCCAAGTGTTCCTGTGAGTTACCATTAGAACCTGGTGACTTTAATCCATCTCTTCTATAGTTTCTCAGAACCTGGGACAGGTCGGAAGTGGCAGGCGTTAGGTTTGTGGGTGGGGCTTATGAGCCCTCCCACCGACCTGTGACCTCTTTGAAGGAGGAAGGCACACCATTTTCACTTAGTCTTCGTTACTAACTGTTGTGTCCTGCCCAAGTTCCATCGCTAAATAATTAGCCTCCACTACCCAGAGTGGAGACAGAGCCCATAAAGAGGTGGTTAAGTTAAAATGAAACAGTTAAGGTAGATTCTAAATTAATCTGACTGACGTCTTTATGATGAAGAGGACATTGGGCAAACTGAGGGACACTGGGGATCATGTAAGCACACAGCAAGGGGGAACTGTCTGTGCATGAGAGAGAGAGAGAGAGAGAGAGAGAGAGAGAGAGAGAGAGAGAGAGAGAGAGAGAGAGAGAGAGAGAGGCAATGCCCTAAGGGGAAGCAAACCACCTTAGACTTCTAGTATTCTGCAATGGTAGTCATAGCACACTGATACCCTATATCTCAAAAGCCTCAGAGAATGATGAAAGAAGCAGATAAGGAAAGCAGGGACTCCCCTGGCTGGGGGGAGAGCAGACAGGAGAGAAGCTGTGATTAGGGATGATGCCCAGGGAACACCGAGGGGAGTGTGTGGGCCTGCTTCTGGGGCTGACGGGAAGAATGCTATTAACTTCCTCGTGGAGTTAATCTGGAAAGGGACAAGTTACAGTGAACTAATCTGTGACAGAGAGGCTAAGGATACAAAGAAGGGAATGAATAGACTCATAATAAATAAATGAATGAATTATTAGTATGTGGTGGACACCGGACAGCCACGTAAAATAGAATGAATTGAGCCCTTACCTTATGCCGTACACAAATAGCTCAAAATGGAGTCAAGACTTCAACAGAAGACCTGAAATTGTGGTGCTCTTAGAGGACAGCATAGAGGACAAGCTGCTTGACATTGACCTTAGCCACACTTTTAAAGAGATGACGTCAAAAGCATTGGCAGTAGAGATAGAAATTTAAAAGCGGATTCCATCAAACTAGAATGTTTTTATGTATTTAGAAAAATCACAAACCTTTTACTTTTTATGTTATTATCGTGTATGTACAGGTGTCTTGCCTGCATGTATGTCTGTGTCCTATGTGATGCCTGGTGCATGTGGAGGCCAGAGGAGGGTGTCAGATCCTTCGGAACTGGAATTGCAGACAGTTGTGAGCCCTCATGTGGATGCTGAGACTATAACCCGCGTTCTCTAGGAGAAGCAGGTGCTCTTAATTGCTGAGCCATCTCTCCAGCTCCCTAAAAAAGTTTTGTATAGAAAAATAATTCAACAAAATTAAAAAAAATGAACACTTCAAAATAGAAAATTTACAAACGTTAAGGATTAATCAGTATTTTCAGAGAGTACCCATAGAGTAGATAAATGTCAGTAGCTATAAATAAATATATAGAGAACAGGCAATTTAGAAGAATTGACTCATGTGCTTATGGAGGCCGAGAAGTTACATGAACAGGCTTGGGATCCAGGGAAGCCACTGGTGTGTCTCCATCAGTCTGAAGACCTCAGAACCAGTGATCCCTGGTGCAATTCTCCATTCAAGACTGAAAGCCTGGGAGAGGGGATGGGGCAGGCGCAGGTGCGGGTCCTGGAATCCAGGGGCTGGAGAACAGAAGGGTGTTCCAGTTCAGAGGGGTGTGTGTGTGTGTGTGTGTGTGTGTGTGTGTGTGTGTGTGTGTGTGTGTGCATGCTCAGCATACATACATACACACACACACCAACACACACACACACACAGAAGGGGAGTTACTCCCTTCCCCCTGGCTATGGTTGAGAATCTCAAGCTGGTTGGGTGCTACCCACTGCCATTGAAGAGAGATCTTTGCAGCTCAGTCCACCGCTGTACATGTCAATCTTTTCTAGAAATAATGTTTCTTTGCTAGACTCACTAGTCCAAACTTATTCCTGAAGTAATGATAACACTACCCTGTCTCTGAGAGACGGTTAATCTTAAAAATACAAGGGATTCATGCAAGTGCATAGACGAAAACAATAACAGTTAAGTAACTGGTAAAGGTGCCAATGGCCACTTTTCTAAAGGAGACCCACAGGTGGCCAGCGGTTTGTGAAAAGGCCTCAGTGTCACCAACTGTCAGGCACTCTAGAGTAAAAACCACCACGAGCTACCATGTCACGCCGGGGAGGGTGGCTGTTATCAGAGAGGAAAGAAATACCGTGCTGATGGGGAGGCAGACAAAAGGGGACCCTTCTCCCCACTGATAGGAACCTATGGTGAGACAACCATTACAGAAAAGCAGAATGGAGCTTCCTCAAAAAATCAGAGAAGAGCTCCTGTGGATCCAGCTATGTCGCCACTGAGTGTATCTGAAGGAAATTTACTCAGCGTTTCAGCGATATTTGTACTTCAGGATCATTGCAAGATGAGCCACAGTTCCTGAGCCATGGAGAAAATGTGTCCATAAACAGATGAAAAGAGAGGAGACATCTCAGTCGGCAAAGCGCTTGTCTTGAAAGCATGAGGACCTGAGTTCAATCCCTGGCACCTCCATATAAATTCAGGTGTGTGCTTATGACCCCAGTTCTAGGGAGGTGGACACAGAAGGAGCCCTTGGTGTCACTGGCCAGTCAGCCTAACCTAATTGATGAGTCTTAGGTCTGTATTTCAATAAGCAAAGTGAATGACTCTCAGAGAACAATAGCCAAAGTTGACCTCTGGCCTCCATACGCACATTGCACAAGTGCATTTGGACATGCACACTCCCCCTCCCAGCAAACTGATGAATAAAGAAGGAAATTGTAACACACACATACACACACACACACACACACACAGAGAGAGAGAGAGAGAGAGAGAGAGAGAGAGAGAGAGAGAGAGAGAGAGAGAGAGACAGACAGACAGACAGACAGACAGACAGATGCTGTGGGATGTTCTGTATGTCAAATGTGTTGCTCTGATTGGTTAATAAATAAAACACTGATTGGCCAGTAGCCAGGCAGGAAGTATAAGTGGGACTAACAGAGAGGAGAATTGAGAGAACAGGAAGGCAGAGAGAGGAGACACTGCCAGCCGCCACCAGGACAAGGAAGATGTAAGGTACCGGTAAGCCACGAGCCACATGGCAAAGTATAGATTAATAGAAATGGGTTAATTTAAGATATAAGAACAGTTAATGAGAACCCTGAGCCATTAGGCCAAACAGTTTAAATAATATAAGCGTCTGTGTGCTTATTTTATAAGTGGACTGTCAAACTGCCGGGGCTTGGCGGGACCCAGAGAGAAAACTCTCTAGCTACAGACAGACAGGCAGACAGGCAGGCAGAGAGGGAGAGAGAAGAGAATATTATTCAGTCCTACAAAGAAGGAAATCCTTCCATTGGGACATCATGAATTAACTTATAGGATATGACACTGAATGAAATTACTCGGACACAGAGGATTCATACAGCACAATATCATTTATATTCAGAATCTTAAAAACTCAGACTAGGAGAAACAAAATAGATTGGTGGTTTCCAGGCATGGGGAATGGGGAAATTCAGAGTTGTTGGTTGAAGGATTCAGAAGTTCAAGTGTATGATGAGTAAGTTCTGGTGGTCTAATCCACAGTATATGACTACAGTTAGTAATAATGTGTTGACTATTTGAAACTTTCTAAGGAAATGGATCCTAAGTTATCACCACACAAACGTGTACAAGTATTCACAAAATGGTAACGGTGTCACGTGAGAGAGATGTTATTAACTTGCTTGTGGGAAGCACTACAAGACATGATCCTCATGTCTCAGCCTTTCAAACACACATTTGGGATTACAGTCATGAGTCATGAAGCCCCAATCACACAAGGCATTCTTATGTCAAACTACTATACTGTGTGCCCCACACACATTTTATTTTGTCACATTCACATACCTCAAAAAATTTGAAAAAAATAAAACTCTGCAAAAACAAAAATGGTATTTCAAAAGGCCCAGTTGAGGGGTGGGATTGTGATCCAATGGTAGAATATTTATCTGGCATAAGCAAGGACCTGCATTTGATACCGAGAACCACAAAATCTCTGAAAGAAAATAACTATCCAACCAACCAAACATCCTGGAAGGGGGCAAGTGACTCTCCCTGCTATCCTATCCCAGGACATAATGTTCCTCATTTATCCTCGCAGGTCCCTGCTCAGTGTTTCTGATGGAATTTGGAGTCTATTCCCTTTTTCAGATGTTGTTATAAATGGCATCTGGACTCCATTGCAGGCCTAGGATCTATTCCTGATATATTATGGTTAGGATTGTACAAGCTGGTCTGAAAGTCTGACCACCATGAGGTTATTTTGGAGAGAAGCATTTGACATTCCAAACATTTGGCTCATTGCTACATAGGTGCTCAAATTCTAAGATGGCAGCCTGTATTAATATTTAGTCTGTAAATGTCCAGTATAAAACATAAAACATTAATAACTTGCTATTGTAAGAACTGAAAGGAAAATGTGTAGTTTACTACTGAGCGAGACACGTCTTAGTAACAACTTGATTTGCTAAAGAATACTCATCTGTTTATGTTAGAAACTCTGTTCAAGCAGAATCTTACCACGCTGTGACACAAAGGAGCGATGCCATTCTGGGTGAAGTACAAGTGGGGGTTGGAGCCCAGTGTACCTGGTCCACTCTGCCCACCTGACAGCCACTGAAGACAGCTCCTTAGAACCACCGAGACACAGTTTGCTACCACTGTGGCAGACCTAGAGTGCACACTAACACTGATCCAGGTGTGAGCACACTGGATAATTTGGGAACAGAGGGAGTCCCACACAGGACAGGTAATCTTTTCAGTGTATCTTAACCAATCCGAATTCTCACCCAATCAGTTGTTGCTTGTGTTCAGATTCACAGGCTGAGTTTCTCCGTTTTGTTATTCTGGAGGTTGTTCCTGCAGGCTGTGGTCTCTCGGGTTCCTGTGACAGCTGTTCCTGTGGGGTTTGCCTGACAAGACGTTAAGGTGGGAGACTGAAGGCAGAGTGGGAAGGGCAAGGCAGGGCATTCTTCCTCCTTTTCTCCACCTCTAAGTCTTCCATTGAACCCTCGCTGAATTCCCTCCACACTCTCTCTCAATGCTTGTGGTAATGTCTCCTCTGGGCTGCCAATTCCCCTCGATCAGCCTCTGCCATAGTGTTCCTTCACTGAGAGCAGGTACCACACGTTAAGAAATGGTTAAGAGAGAGAAATCTTAAGACTGAGAGAATTCTGCCCATCCACTAGGACTTTTATCCCTGTGAATTGGGAGGGAGAGAAATGCCATCTTCCTATTTGTGGCAGTGGGATATCAATCTCCCAAAGAAGTGCAGTTTGCACATTAGGGCATCCCAAGCCAAATTTAGTATTCTGACTCTGAGAGGTTTTGGCTAAACACAGCTGTGTAGATCTTCATTTCAGCTGGACTCTGGGGCTGTTCTGAACTTGCTTTGGTGACATGGTCTAGAGAGGTCCCGGGGGGGTAAGCAGTCCTCCAGGACAGTCATGACTCTCTCTCTGTTCTCCAGCATTTTGTTCTCAGGAACCCAGCCTCATGGCCATTCCCCGAGTGTCTGGAGTCTTAACATAATCTGCCTTCCCCCCTTTTCTTTGTTTATATATGGGCGCTGTAGCTTTGGTTTTGATTTGAATTTGATGAATTTGATCTCTTGATTCTGGAAAAGATGGAGGCTAAACTGTCACCTCACTTAATATGTCTCAAATGCTGTTTGGCGGGAAGGTAGGAAAGGACCAGCTTTCCTGAGCAAACAAAGGTAAGTGAAAGATCCTAGACCCTGGGTGAAGGATTTCCCCTGTCAGAATCTACACTCTGAGTGTCACTGGTGAAGCTGACTGGGAAGGCCACATGCTCAATGACTTAGTTTCTAGATGAACGCTGTGGCGTCAACACAGTCTTAAGATGATGTGAAACAGACATTGATCTTCTGTTAGGTACACTCAGGACTTCAAAAGCTCTCAGCTGCTTTACAGGTGGTTTTGGCTTTGGCAATAGGATGTTCTATATGTTTTCAGAACACCTGCTTTTTGTAGACTGTCTTATCTACATTTCAACTGCTAACACCAGAGAAAGTATTATCATAGTATTGGTGAGAAAGGTGGTGTTGATTTCGCTTGCTCTGTGTTGCTCTTATTTAAACACTGAGACCTTTTTTTTGGTCTGTAGTCCAGACTCAGAATCAAGGAGAGCCAAGTAATACTGACAAGATTTTTTTTTTTTTTTTACTTCACCAGCATCACAGGGGAAATCAGGATGACATTGTGGACTTCGGTGGGAGGAGTGTTTCCCTTGGCTGTATCCTCCTTCCTAGATCCCAATACCTGCCCCAGGTCTGACTGGTATTCTGTACTTTTCCCTAATTGTTATGCTAATTTTCTACTGAAACCAGAGCCCTATTGACTGTCTGTCTAGGGAGACCTTTCAAACCTTGACTAACCTTTCTTCATAGTGACTAAACTCCCACTTCTGGCTGATGAACAGCCTCCTGCTCATTTCCAGAGCAAAATTCTCCTGTACATCCAGGAACTGGACTTCTGCAGCCACATTCTACCTTGTCAATAGGATGTTTCAGTATCAGCTGTCCCTGGGACACTGTCATGTGAACTGTTGGACATGCATCCCATAACCAGGTTAGTTCTCTCTTATTCTGGCCTCTCTCAGTTGTCTTGTCTTCCCGAATGAGGTTAGTCTTTACGAATGTTACACTGCCATATTACTCCATTTCTGATATGTTCATAGTCAGATGGAGACACGGAAGACAGATTGATTTGCACTGGTGTAAAATCAGTATATTTGTATGTGGAAATCCTTTTCTTTTTCTAAGACAGGATTATGCCAAAAAGTCAGAGAATGTGAATGTTTTGTCTTTCATAAGTCACCCCTAAGAACTTTTCAATGAGATGGCAACACACACACACACACACACACACACACACACACACACACACACACACGTGTTTAAAATAGAAAATGGATTATGCTTTTTTGTATCCTGCTTTTCACTTGGGGATTTAGTATTGGACATCATCTGCCCTCATTTTAAACCTGGACTCTCCTTGTTGGCTCAGCTTCAGAGTGGTCTATGATTTAAGTACGAAAGAATAATTCTTCCTCTTTTTATAGGCTTTTGGGGGCGAGTATGTTGGTTAAATTATTTATAGTGATAGGTTCTACAGAAATAGATGCTCTTTATTGAGGCCATCAAAGCCCTCAGTGCTTTAATGATTCTGCTGATTAAGTGGAAAACACATGCAGGCACGTCAACCTGTCAAGCAAAGGAACACACTCTCTCCCCCTGATGTAAATGGATCACACCAAGGCCTGATCGCTCACTGCATTAGGCTATGGTCTTTCATGCTCTAAAGACCAGGTAGGTATTACTTTGCGCAGTTCTTATAGATTGTTGAACTTTAAGACGAAGAACCAAATTTTAAAACTGTCATAAATCTGAGTCTGGCTTTCAGGAGGCAAGAATGCTATTTTTAGTGCGTCTGGATTGCAGTCTTTCCCTTTGGTGGCTGATGATGACCGCACAGTAAGAATGAAAAATGAAACTCGTGGAGATTGGATAGCCACGGAGATTGAAAATAACACCCAGATAGTGGAGCCTTTGGCTCACCCATTTGAATTCAGCTCAGATCAGTGATGACTACAAATTGTTCTGTCTGATGCCAGTGAGGCTTGCAGAAGACCCATTCTTCATCATTAGCTGTGTTAATTATGCTGCTGGCTCACCAAAGCCCAATTTGCCAGCTTTGGACTGTAATCCCCTCGAGGACAAGGGCTGTGTCTGTGCCGTGCATTTTTTTGCTGTCTCAGATAGACAAGTGTGGATTAGATAGTTTGGTTAGGGAGACAAAGGAGTGCTCTTTCCGGGGTGTGAACTTGTCACTAGCAGGTATTTCTGTGAAATATGGAAGTAACGTTGCTTCCAGTTTGTTCTGGGTGGCCTTGGAAACAGTTTAATCCCACACAGTGGCCAACAGCCTTCTTCCATGGTCCTGTCAGCAAACACAGTGAGAGACAGGCTCCACACTTCTTGCTTTCTGACTTGCACAGGTAACTGGTGTCTAGTTCAACACTCATTTCTGATGATTTTCCTCGATCCCTTCAGCTCACTTTGATTATAATGTACTATTAGGAATTCTATTTACTTTGCCTGTGTTAAACATTATTTTTCATAAATTTGTGTTTCTTTGCTGAATATGCCCTGACTTCCCATGTAGAGAGGTAACTCTTTTCAAGATTCAAGACTAACACTTATATTTTTTGTTGTAAATTTTTTATCTACTGGGTGTAGTGGGGCATGCCTTTAGTTCCAACACTTGGGGTGCAGAGGCAGGCAGATCTCTGTGAGTACAAGGCCAGCTTGGTCTACCTAATGAGTTCCAGTCCAATCAAGGCTACACTCAGTGAGACCTGTCTCAAAAACAAAAAAAAAAAATTGTCCTCTCCTGTGATGATGTTGCAACCATAAGACTAATATTTATGGACTTTCTTAATACTATTTTTGAAAAATTAAATAAAAAGTCTTATGTACAAGTTTGCATAGTTTTTCCTCAGCAGATATTAGGTGGGCCACTATTCTTTCCTGAGTCTTAATTCCATGTTACGAGTGCCATGGAGATTGTGCCATAGTAATTTTTCAGGTTGAACACTGAACAACTCCACAGAGTCTATTCACATCTGTGACAGCTCTAGTGAGTGCTGTTGATGGCTCTGACACATAGAGGCTGAAGAATAGGAGCACTGATGCTCAAAAATAAGATATATGTTTGTAATTGCAACAGGCTGGATGGGGAGAAGCCACTAGGCTGTCAATCTTAGTACACTTGTTTTGGGATCAAACCAAACATGATAGGGAGACTATTTTCACCAACTTAAGTGTTCATTTCTTCTACCCTGTTCTGCCCGACTTAAGGAAGGCTTTGTTGTTGCTGTCACTGTTAGGTTTTTCTTCTTGAAGAGTCTTATTCCCATGCTTAAATGAATAGAAAATCCTTCCATTCCCGTCCTCTCTCAATAGAGTTTGACTTTTGTCGGCCCAGCTCTTGGGACCTTGTAATGTAGAACCCGGAGGCTGTATTGAGAACAGGGAGGACAAGGCAAGGAAAAGTCATTCAGAGTCCCGACTGCTGGGCTTGGCTGGATGTTGGGAGGAAGAAGCCATGGGGCGGGGAAGGATGGGGCAGAATTTAAAGAGGGAGCTGATAGAGGGGTTCATGGAGTTCTGTGGAGAGTATACATGAGATTCCCTCTGACACTTGTGTGTCAGGACAGGGCTGAGCTGCTTAAAAGTAGCAAGCAACTCCTAGATCCCTGTGGTCCTATAACCAGAATTCCTTTCTTGCTCATGGTCTATTGTAAGGTCCCGGTGGATTCCTGAATGCAGTGACTTGGTGGCCCCAGCTGCTTTGATCTTAGGCTTTCCTTTTAGAAGAATGGCAGAGGGAGAGCTTAGGGGAGTCCTTTTCTAACTGGCCATTGCATGTAGCTGCCTCACAGGCTTCCTGCCTATGGCAGGGCCAGGAACCTGTGTTTTCTTTGAAATGTGTTTAAGGGAACTGTCCCTAGCATCATGGATTCTCCATGCAGAAGGCTGGAATGGTTTTGCTTTTGTTGGCTGAAGAGTCTCTTATAGGTGACACCTGTAAGCCACTGGGCCACAAAGGATGCTAGAATTTATTCTTCTTCTGCAGAAAAAGAAAATGCGATAGTGTGTCGTAAAGGTGCCATAGAAGTTTCTGAGCAGCGCCGCAAAGTAGCTGTAATGTTGGTTGGTATTATGAGCGCTTTTGAAACTTTACCCCTTTGCTCTCTCTGTCTCTCTCTTTCCCTTCAGTGAGAAAATATTCATAAATGCTCCTATTCCCATGACTTACTCAGAGGAAGTTTTAAATTTGGTTTTATTTCCTTTGCTTCCTTGATATTCACTTTATTAGGCATCTTAAGATGGCGAAAAGGTTACAAATTCCCCTTGGAGTTATTAAAAAGAAGCCTGTCTAGGATGACATCAATGTGATGGTCATTCATGATCCCTTTGAGCTTTATGGCTCTTCCAAGAAAATAAAAAGTCTATATCACAGATCTATAGGAGAAACGGAGCTGAAAAGATGTGCCTAATGTGATTTCTTAGCAAGTACAGAGGACAAAGGAATAGAAATGCGTTTTCTTGTGGTATTGAGGCTTGAACCCAGGGCCTCCCATATGCAAGGCAAGTGTCCTTACTGCTGAGATATATCCCCAGATATAGGTTTTAAAAGTAAAAATAGGATAAGATAAGAAACAATTTTATGTATTTCTGCAGTTTTCTCAACAGGAACAGTTATATTTTAGGAGAATCATCTGATTACTTCTGTCTTGACAAAATCTCAACAATTACAACAGGTGCACACACTATTGACAACAACAACAAAAATCCAAAAAAACCACAACCTCTGGTTGGCATAAATAAGATGCAATGGAATACTTCAGTGTGCAATTACATTTTCTGCATAATTAGTCATAAATTGAGCATCCAAACATAGATGCATGTTTAATTAATTATGACTTATTTAAAAGCACTTGGGTGGTGACACTTTGTTCTTCATTTCCTGCAAATCAAATTACTGAAGTTTTCAATTTAATCTAAAGTAATCTTCCTTGCATTATTTTTAAAATTCCACCCAAGACACAGGCTTGATTACAGCATAAATAACTGAGGCAGTGAGGTAAATATCATTTAAGGGAGGGTGGGTAGAGATATAGCGGAAGACATAAGATGGCAGAGAATGAGTAGGACTCATTTTGAAGCTAAGTAAGTTGAGGCCTGGGCCGGCTGAGCTAGGAGATGGAAGACTCTACATGATGATTTTGATTGAACTGTCTTAACAGACAAAAGGCACTACAACCTCAGAAATGTGTAGATAAAAATGTCTCATACTTAATAATTAAGGATAGGAGATGAATCTAGCATCAGTGTCTTTTAAAACATTCTCCCTTGAAACACACTATCAACTAATGAGTATTTGTTTTTAAGGGGTGTAGGTGGCCTGGGTTCCAGACTGTACCCTTTCTAATAGAGTTTGGTCATTATTGAAGTTGAGACATGTTGCCTGTTGAAGTGTCTGCACTTCAGCATTTCCTGAAATGCTACACAACAACATCCAAGTAGCTACCTCTACTGAAAGGGTTTTAGTTGTTGGCACTGCCTCTCCTAGTATGAGTAGTCACAAAAACTGAGCTTGTAGTGTCTCTTAGATTCCTCTTTCTGTAGACTTCAGGCTGGTGATTCTTAACCTTTCCTAGTTAGTATTCCCTAAGAACACAGACATTAATCAGTATCTTCAGAAATCTGAGACCATATTCCAATCTTGTCCTCCTAAAGACAGCAATTCCTTACCTGTTATGCCACAAATTCCTGTGAATTTTAATTCTAGAACATTTCCCTATCTGTCCTGATATAAAAACATAAATCATAAACTATTATTTCTACCTAACTCATCACTTAATGAATAAGATTATTCAATAAGATGAATGATAGACATCGAGCCCAATAATCTGTTTTAGAGTCTAATGATTTCCCACACCCTTTCTCTCTCTTCTCTGTCTTCCCTTTCATCTCCCCCACTTCCTTTGTCCCACCTGCCATCTAGATTTTTAAAATTTCTGAGTTGTGGCAATACTGCAGGAGGAGGCTCAGAGCATTTTCAGGCAACTGTTAGTGAAATTTCAATAGTTCTAGCTTCTGACTAAAAGCTGATCAAGTCATTCGGGTGATGGGACCAGTGCAAATGCCTGCTCCATTTTTACCAGCTTGCTGAACACAGTGAGAAGATAAGGAGCAGACATTATGCATCAAGGCACCCTGGGTGAACACAGTATCTATTGTTCCAACCAGACTGTATAATGCTTTTGGTCCATTCCTGAAGAATTGCTCATCACAGATTTGATGCTGTTCATACATATGTCCAAGTGCACCCCTGCCCTTCCCCTTAGTTGTTAAAAAAAACAGGCAGAATGATGTGACTATCATTAAGCACTTTGGATACTAGCACAGGACATCTTTATTATAAATACAGGAAATAAAAACAATTATGAGGCTGGGCGGTGGTGGCGCACGCCTTTAATCCCAGCACTCGGGAGGCAGAGCCAGGCGGATCTCTGTGAGTTCGAGGCCAGCCTGGTCTACCAAGTGAGTTCCAGGAAAAGGCGCAAAGCTACACAGAGAAACCCTGTCTCGAAAAACAAAAACAAAAAACAAAACAAAACAACAAAAAAAACCAATTGTGATCAAAGGAATTGGATTAATCTTAGTTACCCAACTAATTAAGTAAAAAGTATATGCATTAGTCAGGCTCATCTAGCCGTTTCTTTGGGTTTAGAGTTATCCAGTTTGTTCTACGATGAGCCTAAGTGCAGCCTGGCAATGTGTTCCCCTCTACTTTGGCTCTGAGGAAAGAAACATGCATAATGATTCTGTTTTGTTATCACCTACCTAGGTTGGGGGCAAATTTTCTCATTCTCAACCACACTGTTCTGTTAGTGTCCAAGTTTCCCACCTTCAAGACTTAAAGATGTTCAGGATTCTTGGATGATTATCTCTCAAAGCTGGGTCAATTCCTGGAGGCCTCATCCACTTCCATTTCCATTCTTCGGGATGGAAAGCCCTTTGGTCTTTTCCAGTTGGAGGACTTGTACAAACCCCTCTTCTTCTCCAGTTTCCCTCACCCCCTGCATTCTACTCTCCCTCTACCTGTCTTCTCTCTACTCCGAAGTGGAAAGTTTCCACTTAACTTTTTTCACTCCTTGGGCTGCCATCTTTGAATTTTCTTTCCCTTTCTCTTCTGGCTAGAAAAGGAAGATAATGCTCCCAAGGATTGTTACTAAAGCAGTGGAGAATAGAGAAGTCATATACAGATTGCGACGCTAAAGCAGAGTCCTGCCACATTTATGCAGTTGTGTTCAATTTTCTCCTTGTCATTTTAAGGTGACCTAGACGTAAGCAACAAAGACTTCTGGCTTTAAATGCCTTCTGGGCTGTTGAGATGCCTCAGTGGATAAAGGTTCTCTCTGCCAAGTCTGGCAACCTGAGGTTGATCCTTGGAGCCTACATAGTGGAAGGAGAGAACTGACTCCCGCCAATGGTCCTCTGACCTCCACATGTATGCTGTGGTATGTGCACACCCCCCCTACATGTACAAAATAAATAAACGTACATACATGCTTTTCATGGTTGCACAGCAGGTTAGCACTTTCCCTAACTATAGCATCTTTCAGCTTAGGAACTGGTGGGTTGGAAACCCAGTCTTGGTTCTTTGAGCTAGGAAGGACACTGCTCCTTGCTGCCCTTGGCTGTCTGAAAGAATGGATGGATGACTATTCTACATGTTGCAGCATATTGATTTCCACTGGATGTAGTGTGAAAATATAGTCCACCTCCCTCTTTTTTTCCCCAAACAGAACCCCCACATTACAAGAGAATTTTCAAACTTCTAAGGGGTAGAAACATTTCCAGGAGGAGAATGTAAGGAGGAAGACTTCTGAGACATCTTCCATAAGAGTATTGGCCTCCAAATTGCTCACCGGCCTCCCAGAAGGATGCACCTTAGGCCCGGGCTTGTACATCTCCAATGCCTGGACTGTGAATGCCTGAATTTGGACAAGGGCAAACTGGCACTGAGGTTTTCCTGCAATAATAAGAGTCCTTCACACCCTGTTGATTCAAATCAAAGGGACCCACATCAGTTTTCACATCTCACTGGTTATTTTGTATATGGCCCTGCATGTTCATTTAGGCTCAAAATTGCACCCATATATTTCCTGCTTTCCATGATCTCCTTTGCTTCATTTGTTCTTCTGAAATATTTCCAATTGTTTGGGTGCCCAATTGTTCGTGAAGTGGTCGTTCAGTTTGTGCTGAAAGGCCATTTAAAAAAAAAAGAAAAAAAGATTTATCATCATAATTATTATCATTATGTTATATGTTGATTTCAAAAAAATCCAACCATTGAGGTCCATTGAGACAGTAAATGGCTTCCCCATTCCCAAACCTTGAAATGATCCTTTTTTTCAAGGCTATTCTTTTGTGGTTGATGAGATCTTAGCCAGTGAGTTGCAACAAGAGGGCTTTGTATCAGAGCAGCCTGTACCTGGGTAGCTTGGAGAGCAACCGTTCTCAGAGTAAACTATACCTTTAGTTCATATACTAAGAGGTATGTATTCTTTGCTAATGTCAGCATCAATCAAAATTGAGGGCGCCTTTCTGGGCTTGGGGTCTGAAGATAAATCTTTTTTCAGACTCCTTGTATGTTTTCCTGACACCCTGCATTTCCTTTTACAGCTAACTGAGCTACTTAAAGCCCCTCCCTATCATAGAGAAAACTGGTCAGATTCTCCCTGTTGATATGCAGGTTCTACACTACTTCACTATTTGTCAGATCAATGGACGCTGAGCATGAGGGGAGGACCCAAGTGATAGCATTGACCTCAAACTGTCTAGCAGAATATGGTTCTGGAGGAGCTAGCAAACACTGCCTGTCTACATAGCATTCTTGCAAATGGCAAGAAAATGAGTTCCCTGGGAAGATGAATTACAAACTCACCCTCTCTTCAGGGTAAATTCAGAGTCTTCAAGTGGTTAGGCTGAATTTTAACCCCTTCGATTTCCCTCTATTAGGTTTCTTTGTTCAGTGTTCAGATGCACCTTTCATGGGTCCTGGCAAGATGGATACAAGAATATAAGATACAATAAGCAGATAGGATCCCAGAGATCCAGGAGGAAGAAAGGAATAGGAAAGAAGAAAACACTACTCCTTCTGGAACAGTACTGGGTACGGACAGGAAACTAAGAGTCTTGCAAATGTATGAATCAATGGGCAAAGCTGTTTTCTTGCATCATATAACTGGCTTAGAATGTCAGTTTCGGAGCTGAAAGGAGATATCCATTTCTTTCTCTTCGAGATATATATGATTGTCCTCCTAATTTTGCCCAGGACTGTAAGATCGTGGCTATTGAATACAATTGTATTCTTTAAAAATTTAAAGTATTTTAATGTATTATTTATTATCTGTGTACAAGTGTTTTGCCTGCATATATGTCTATGCACCATGTGTGTGCCTGCTGCCCACAGATGCCGGAAGAGTATTGAATCCTCTGGGACTGGAGTCATAGATGGTTGTGAGTCCCCAGGAGGGTGCTGAGAATTGAACCCAGGTCCTCTAGAAGAGCAGCAATGCTCTTAACTGCTGAGCTATTATGTCATCTCTCCAGTTGTTATAGTTACATTCTTTTTTATAGCAAACAGCTTTTATGTTTAACATAAATACATGCATGCAAAAACCTAAATAGATTTAAGATTTTTTTTCCCCTATGTACTTGTGTTGGCTAATCTTGGTCACCAACCTGATGACATCTGGAATCAACCTGAACCCAAGCTGTTAGGCATTCCTGTGAGGATTTTACTAATCAGAGTATCTGAAGAAGGAAGAACCCATCCTACATCTGGGCCATCCCTTATGGTGGCAACCCACAAGAAAGTACATGGGAGGAGGAAGCTCTTGGCTTTTGTCTACTTGACCTCACTCTCAATGGCAAGCTTGCCTATCCTGTTGCTGTGGCCAGTATAATTCAGCTTGTTCAGGATTCCAGCAGATCTCTGGGAATCCTCCCAGACTCCAGCACCAGATTGGGAGACACATCCAGCCTCATAAATTGAGCAAATACTAGTTCTCAGCCTTTCGATCATGAGATAGCAATTGTTAGATTGCCTAGACTATATTCTATAAGTCAGTTTAATAAATTCCATACATATGTATATTCTCTCAGTTCTGTTCCTTTGGAGAGCTTTGATAACACAGTACTTAACACTGATAAGACACAATCTCTGTTTTCTCCTTTCTACAGTTCCCCTGCCTTTTACATCCAGCTCAAGTTGTACCATCTCCTAAATCTTCCGTTGATTTCTCCAGTTCCACACAGACTTCCCCATCCACTCACCATATACCCACCATTCTTAAACCTTCCGTGGGTTGAAATCCCTTCGACTTTTCAAGCCTGTCAGTTTCCGAAGGACAGCACATCCTCAGAGGTATGTCTCCAATTGGTCTTGCAGACACAAAGTAGTCACAGAAACCTTGCCTAGTGCTGGAATCGAGAGAGCAACGTGCTACGGAAAACCAAACTCACACGCAACACCCAAATTCTCCCAGTCAGCGGCAACCCTGTGATGCTTTCGGTGAGAGGCTCCTCTGAGAAGGAGCAGGCCCGGTCTCACTCACAGGCAGTCTTGTGGGGTTGTAATGAATAGTGGGAGAACCAGGTGAGGATAGCAGGGTGGCAAAAGAGGGAACACCTTAGGCCTGGGTCATTTACCCAGGAGGGTGTTTCCAAATAGAAGGGTGATATGCCTGGGAGAGTTTCAGAATTTGCATAGAAGTATAGTTAGAAATTTAGGGAAAGATTTGCGAAGGACCACCAAGCTTTCTCCATGATTGAAAGATCTGCTTTCAAAGTATGAAGCTTGTCAGTTTTCGTTATTAGAGGTAGAAATAGTTGCAACTCCATTGCAGCCTTTCAGGAGATGTATTTTAGATAATCCACTGACCCTACAATTTTCTTTGGGAAAATTTACTTTGAGAAACAAATTATCCTAAAATTTCAAGGTTTAAAAATGGCAAACGTTTATTATCTGTTTGTTTCTGAGTCAGGGATCTAGGCATGACTTAGTGGGGTGTCTCTAGGTCAAGGTCTTTCCTAAGATCGCAACCAAGTTGTTGGCGGGGGTAGGTGGGACTGTGGTTATAGCTGAACTTTCACTCGGGCTGTGGGAGGAGATCCACCGGCCAAACCATGCACATGGCTGTTGATAGCCCCAGAGGCAGAGATTCTAAGGAGCACGTCACCTCAGGTGGAAGCCAAAGTTTTTGCAATGTAACCTTAGACATGATACTTTCTCACTTCTTTCCATTGGACTAATTAGAAGTGACTTCTGAAGTCTAGCCTATACTCAAGAGGTGTTTTTACACAGGACAAGAGTTTGCCTCCCACAGACCCTCAGTGGCCATGCCTCTTCTGCGTGTCTCACGATTGGCTGACTGAAAAGTGTGGAGAAAAAAAATCTCCCTACTAGAAACCCGAGGGAAGCTTGGAGAGACATCCAGCCTCTGCACATTTCTCATCCTGAAAATAGAAGACTTTTGCTCTCCCTGTTTCCTAGAAGGAAGCTAATCTTTGTGGAGAATGAAGATGTGCACACAGAAGCAGAAGACACAGGCAGAAAACACTCTTTGGCTTCCCACCTGCCCTTCTTCTGCCTTGAGGTCTTAGGAGTTATCTTGGCTGCCTTTTTAGAAATACTTCCCATCTCCTCTCAGCTAAGCTTGTGGTGGCTCAGATACTTGCATGGAATTCTTCTATGGTATCATGAATGGAATACAATTAATAGTTTTAAAATTTCAACACTGTGGACATTAATTTCATTTAGTGAGTGCATGCTCTGTGTAAAGCCGTGTCCTAGACGGTGGGCAGATGATGAGGGAAGAGAGAGCTTATCTTCATACATCCCACTGTCTAGCTCAATCACTCTTTTTTTTTTTTTAAAAAAAAAGATTTTTAAAATTATGTATAGGTGTGTGCCTATGTGGGGGTATGTGCACATGAGTGCAGGCACTCCCAGAAGCCAGAAGAGGGCATCAGCTCTCTTGGAGCTGGAGTTACAGGCAGCTGTGAGTCACCTTGTATACATGATTGTCTTGTGAGCTCAGGTATGAAACAACCACCATGTGTGTAAAGTATGAATGTATAAGTCCAAACAGTAGATGGCTTGGGTTTTTCATTTATGTGTATGAGTGTTTGCTTGCATTTATGTATGATCTTCATAGAAATACCTGGTGCCAGAGGGGGCTGGAAGAGGGTATCAGGTCTCTTGGAACTGGAACTACAGATGGTTATTAACAGACCATTTCTCTACACCGCCCCCCCTTTGTTGTTTGAAACACAGTCTCAGGCTCATGGAAATCATCTTGCCTCAGACACTTGAGTTCTAGAATTAGAGGCATAGCCCACTGTGACCAGTTCTAAAGAGTTCTTTTACACGAGAATTCTCTATACACCCTAGTTTATATACTTCAGAGGTGTTTGGTAGCCTTTTTTGGCTACTTCTGTATTTATCCATGACCTAGATAAGATATCTGGAGGCATTTCAATGTTTGTTACCTTGAAATAACTCTCCTTCTCAGTCAGAAGCTTTGAACTTATTTCAGTCACTTGTCAAAGTTCAAAATACCCGAAAGGCAGAGTCAGTGAAGGGGTTTGAGCTGGCTGGCTGGTACCATACTTAGTGAATAGGAAGCTGGATGGCTATTAATCGCACATTTACTGCATTTTTTTTCTTCTTTGGTATATAGTATGCTTCCCTATTTCATTAACTTTTGATTTGGCTGTAGAATTTGGTCACCAAAATTTAAGTGGGTAAAGTGGAAGCAGAAGTTTTATCTTAGTTAAGGTTTCTAGTGCTGTAACAAAAACCATGACCAAAGGTAACTTGGGGAAGAAATGGCTTATTTGACTTACATATCCCGAGTCACAGTCCTTGAGTGACTCCAAGGCAGGAATTCAAGGCAGGAACTGAAACAAAGGCTTAATTTGGGTTTCTATTGCTGCAGAAAAAGAAAAAAAAAAAACCGCCATGATCAAAACAGCTTGGGGAAGAAAGGGTTTATTTGGCTTACACTTCCACAGCACTGTTTATCATTGAAGTAAGTCAGGACAGGAACTCAAACAGGATAGGAACCTGGAGGCAGGAGCTGATGCAGAGGCCATGGAGGGGTGCGTCTTACTGGTTGCTCCTTATGGCTTGCTCAGCCTGTTTTCTTATAGAACTCAGGATCACCAGCCCAGGGATGGCACTACGCACAGTGGGCTGGGCCCTCTCCCATCAAGTACCAATTAAGAAAAGCCCTACAGGCCTGCCCACAGCCCAATCCCATGAAGGCACTTTCTTAATTGAGGTTCTGTCCTCTCAGATGACTTTAGCTTGTGTCAAGTTGACATAAAAGCAGCACAGAGGCCATGGAGGAATACTGCTTACTATTGGTTTGCTTACCACATCCTGTTCAGCCTGCTTTCTTATACAACTCAGGACCACCTGCTCAGTGGTGGCACCACTCACAGTGAGCTGGGTTCTTCCACATCAACCATTAATCAAGAAAAGGCTCCAGTCTTGTCCACAAACCAATCCAGTGGGAATGTTTTCTCAGTTGAGGATCTCTCTTCTCAAATGATTCTATCTTGGGTTGCTTGACTAACCAGGATAGGCTTTAAATGAGTTTGTAAGGGGATGGGGAGACCAACCTTTTCACTGTTTCTCAGCCTGGACCCCAGGTTGAAAGATGTGGCACAGGCTTAAAAGCAGCCTTAATCCTGGTGCCCAACCACCCAATTCTTAGCCCAAAGTAGAGTTTCTGAACCTGTAACTCACAAGTGAGAAAAATACATGCTTGCTGCTGTGAGCTGTTGATTTTTGGGGTATTTTATTATACATTATTGTAGCAATAGCTGTCTGATACATTCAATTTATGGGGTCAAAAAAATGGAGTATTGTAGAAGACAGGAATAATGCCCCCCCCCTCTCAAAAATGTCCATATCCTCATTTTTTGGAACCTACAGAATGTTACTTTTCATGGTGGAAGTGTCTTTGCAGATGTGATTAAGGATCTTGATGTAGAGCTACTCTGGATTATCAGTCTGAGCCCAGTGTTCTTATGCTAGGGAGGCAGGTGAGGAAGGGAAGGAGGTGTGACAAGGTGTGACAGTGAAAATTGTTATCTGATACTTCCTGGCAAACTCTTCACCCCAGTAGTGAGGGCACCTACAAACCAAAGACAGGATTCCATCCAGCCAAGCTTGGTGAACACATGAGTTTATTGGGGTTACTTATAGGGGCATGCACCACTCAAGAGAACTGCACCACTGAAGAGTCCCACTCAGAGTGTGGATGCCTCATAAAAACACTGTACTCTTGAAGAGTCCATTGTACAACTAACATGCAGCTGTACTATTGAGGAATCCCACCCCTATCAATTGTTATCTCTTATATCTCCTTGGGGAGGAGAGGGCACTTGTAAGGATTTCACAGAGCCTTAGAACCACATAAGCCCCATGACCCTGTGACCCTATGAGCCTCCATGTTTCCTCTAGGAGAGAACACAAATAGGCTAAGTCATTTGCAGCTGATCACAACTGCTGTGATCCAAGACAGCAATGATCATGTCCAGCTTGGAGGAAATAGCTATGTGATAAAAGCAGAGACTAGAGCCGTGGGGTCAAGAGAACAAGGACTGTAGACGCTGTAAAAGGGAAGTCCTTAGAAGGAAAGCAGGGGTTGGGGATTTAGCTCAGTGGTAGAGCACTTGCCTAGCAAGTGCAAAGCCCTGGGTTCGGTCCTCAGCTCTGAAAAAAAGAAGTAAAGCAGCATTGTTAACACCTTGACATTAGCCCTACAAGATTTGCTTTCAACTTCTGACCTCTAGAAAGAAAAGATAATAAATTTGCACTATAAGCCAGTAAGTTGTAATAATTTATTATAACAGCAATAGGAAATTAATACAAATTTATTACAATTAAACCTCTTCTCTTTGCTATAGAAAAATATTTATATTTAGAGTAATACATTATGACATTACCCTACTAATATATATTCAGAAAATATATTTTCTAAAGTCCACAAATTTATTTATTATGGTGGAAAAATCAAGATGGTAACATTACTTGAATATACATTATGGAGGAAAAATAAACATGCATTACAAAATACATCCTTTTTTTTTTTTTTTTTTTTTTTTGGTTTTTCGAGACAGGGTTTCTCTGTGTAGCTTTGCGCCTTTCCTGGAACTCACTTGGTAGTCCAGGCTGGCCTCGAACTCACAGAGATCCGCCTGGCTCTGCCTCCCGAGTGCTGGGATTAAAGGCGTGCGCCACCACCAGGTTGCGCGTCTGACTCCAAAATACATCCTTTTAAACTAGGATTAACAGAACATGGATGAAGGTGGGGTAAAGGGCCAAGTGAATGAGATATCCAGGCACATCAG